TTTGTATGATATACATTTATAAATATGCAGATGATATAAAGAACCCAATTTTATTGCTTTTTCAATCTGTTGTAAATTGGAGTTCGGGTTGGTCTCTGTACAGACTGAAGAAGGTGAGAGAGGTCCTATAAACTGTATATTTTTATGTGTCCACATATATTGGCATGATCAAGTCTCACTGTCTCGCTCTCTCTCTGAATGCATCTATCTCGGAACCTATGGACTAGCAGCTAAAGAATTGATTCGCTATAAGGGGTCTAACCCAAGCACGCGTTGATTAAGTTTGTTGCAAATAAGTACTACGTTTTTTTGTGTTAAATTGATAAGGAAATTTATGGCATTATACATAGGTATTAAAACATATCGCCTTCATATTTATAGCTAGTTGTTGGATTTGTACATTTTTTATACAGACATCACATATCACAATAGTCAATAAATACTAGCAATTAAATATCAGGTACAAAACAATAAATACGTGAAATGTATGTGGAATGATTTATATTCCAGAGAAAATTTAGATCATATGCTGAAAATTTCATTGAAATCGGTCAAGTAACACAGAAGTTATGAAAGAAAACGTATTGCAAAATCGAACGGAAAGAAACGCCAAGCACTTCATTCATGTGCACATACATACGTACATACATACRCACAAACAAACTCGTGCAATCGTTTACGAACGCTATAAATAGAATAAGAAATGCGATTGAATTGTGCTTCAATACTTTTCGGCTTGGGCACGAGCAGGTAATGCGTACGATTTCGCGTGCGTAGACCGACGAAAACAACTTTAGTTATTTCAATAGTCTGCTAGTCATTAATTGTTTGTAAGATTTGCTTTATACTTAATTTAATTCAATATGAATAAGCTCAAAATAGTTATTTATTATTTTTCGGCAGGCTGCATAGATATTGCGTGTAAATCAGGCGCCTGCTTGAGCAAAACGTTTCTGTTACGTTTGTCGCCTGGCTGAGCTCATTAAAAGCGACATTGGCGTCGAGCCCGTTGCAATGCTTGCATGTTTGTGCATGTGTGTGTGTGCGTGTGTGCATATAAAGAAGCTGCGGTTTGCTCTTGTTGTTGTTGCTGGTAAGCTTGCAGCGAATAGTAATTAAGTGAAACATACACACACACACGCACTCGGAGAGTGAGAGAGAGACATGCATGCACATGCCAAATAACTGTAACGGACCAATTGACGTTAAATGCATGCAGTTAGATCGTAGGCGACGGCAATATCGAGAACAGTGTCAAGTTCATGTCATTAAGGTGTGATTAACAAAAATTAGTTGCTGCTTAACACACACACACACACACATACTCACACGCACGCAGAGATGAGCAAACACACACACACACACTTACGCATAATAGCGCAACAGTGCGAATAACTGCTTATGCGTGTGCCTGGAAAGCAGACACTCACACAGACACGCCGAGCAGGTGTATTAGAGACGCGCAACACATGAAGTCGAGCAGCGCTGCCAGCGTCGCAGCTGACGTCGCTGCCGTCGAAAACGTTTCATTCATCTCAACTGTTGCTCCCCACTTGTTAGCACAAATGAGACTGGAAAGCGCTGGCACGAGGTGGCCGACGCGCTAGCCGAACGCCGCATGCCGAGAGCCGAGAGCCGAACGACGAGTGCCGATTCGGCCGAGTGCCAAAGCATTCCAGGAGGCACTTTTGGAGAGCGTCCACCTGAAGCAGAAGGTCGTGCTCGGTGCGTGTTTCGGTGTAGACTTTTTGGGCGCCATAAACACACACACACACACCCATACACATACGCACACACTGGCAGCGACATGTGCACGTGTGTGCGCTGTGTAGACTGCGTTATATTTGCATTAAATTATTCAGCAGGAAAATATTTTATGAAGCGCAGACAAGCAGCAACAAACCAAAAAGCTGCTGCGCTTTTTGCCAACTGAAATGCAATTAAAAAGCGCAGCAGCAGCAGCAGAAGCATTGGCAGCAACAGCAGCAGCAGAAGCAGTGGCAGCAGCAGCGGGAACGACGCATATCGTGCGCTCTTCGGCTAACGCTACTCGCTGCCACGGCCGCTGTCGCTGCCACAGTCGGCGTCGCTGCCAATGCTCACGCGTTGCGTTGCGTGGCGCGCAACGTCGTCGTCGCATTCAGCGACTGCCTTCGACCAGTAGGCGTTCAGCCTCCGAGCGGATAACATTGCGTTGTTGTTACTTCTTGGAGACAGCCAATCAGAAGCGCTCAATACTCAAACTGACTCAAATACCGTTCAACTGGCGATTGAGTTCGATTTCGAGTTCCGTTACTTGAAGTCGTGCGTTCAAAACGAAACAAAGAGTCAAAGTAAAACGTTTTCTTGCGCCTGATCCTAACTGTGTGTGTGTGTGTGAGTGTATGGAGCAAAGATTCTAGAAAAAAATTTGAAAAATCCAAATTGGAAATTTTTCGAAAATCGTTAAAGGCGCGCCAAAAATAAGGAATTTCTTTTGCTTGCCATTTGAAAAACTCAAAGAAAATTCTTGCCGTTGTTTTTTTTTTGTTGGCTTTTTTTTTTGGGTTGTTGTTGATATAAAATAAATAAATACTAAAAGTTGAAAAGTTTGTATATTAAACAAATATACACACATATATCGAAATATATATATATACATAAATTATTTTGTGTGTGCGAGCGAGAAGGCAATAGACAAAAGTGCAAAGAGAGCCAAAATAAAGGTAAATTCTTGAAATGAAAAGTTTTAAAAATATGTATATTTTTTTTTTAAACAAATTTTCAGATGTATTTTTGAGTGAATTAAAAATTTTTTTTTTTGTGATTTGAGTTTCAACTTCTTTTTCTAGTACCTTCAATATGTAACATAGAGCTGAAGGTCAGTGTTGTGAAACGAGCTAAAATTTGCAAGAGTTTTGTGAAACATATCCAGTTTATATGGAACTTGTGTGAATATATGAGAATTTAAATACTGAAAAAAGGATTTTTAAAAATATGATTATATTGAAATAATTTAAACTTCAAAAAGTTTTAAAACTATTTAAAATTGTTTTTTTTTTTGTTTTTTTTTTTTTTTTTTGGTTTTAAATATTTAAAAATCTCAGTTTTTGTTGACTATTCTAACAATTTAATGTCTTAGTTTACGATTCGTTTTTGACCTTGAGCTACATTTGTGTTTGTTTTCGTTTTCGAACTTCGAAAATAGTTTCGAAAACCCTACGAACTTCTCGAAATCAATAAGTTTTAAGCTGCAGAAAAAGTTCAAATCGCTTGAATTAGTTCAAAATTTTGCACAATTTAAGGCTTAAGGCCTAAACGAAGGGCCATGAGAAGCTATGAAAATGTGGGAAAACCACAAATGCGAAAACTTAAACAACTTAACTAAAAAACTTGTAGAACAAAAACTTTTTAAGCTATGGACTCGAGTTACTTTTTTGAAGATGTGGTTGGAGTCTGTGTGCGGAACTCGAACCCTGATTTAGTGCCTCAATGGAGTATTTCTGGGAAGAGCTTGAAATTTAATGCAAATATATGTGAGGTATATTAGTGTATACCCAGCTAATGGGAGCATTAAGAATGTATATTAGTGTTGTCGTAACTTTTCAGATTCTTAGAGTTTAGAAAGCTATGCATAGCAAGTGTGCGAAAACGGAAGATCTAGAGTACCTCTAGTATTAGTTAGGGGTTTGTAATTTATAGCATATCAATAATGCTGATTGACGGCATTCTCTGTATTCTCTGTTTTATCTGCCAAAAGCGATAAAAGACCTTGCAGTTGCTATATATGTATCTCGTATATAGCTTCATATCTGAAGCTTTAAGCTGACCTTGCAAATGACTTTGAATACAACTTAAAAGATATCGATAGCCAGGAATTGCAGTTTAATTGTAGTAACTCTATAACAAATTTAGGAATTGAACAGAAAAGTTGGAAAAACGTGTGGAGCTATTTGTCAAGCTCATTCACGAAAGGGAAACGAGTTGATTAGTTTTTGCAATGTCTGTCTGGCTGTCCGCCTGCTAGGGCCCTGAAATTTTGAATATATACTCGTATATAACTTCGAATTACAGAGTATCAAGACTTTTCCGTATTATTGGGGGCGTGGCAAGTTAAAAAATTGTCCTGAATGCAATGAAGTAAGTCCACAAAACTCTAGACTCGTCCGTATCAAAGAGTTTATCTAATGAAAATCAAACAAACAACTTTTGATGCGAATATGAAAGCAAATTCTTAAATTTTAAGACATTTGAAAGGATACTGAAAGATAATATCGAAGTTTTAGGAGTAGTAGTGAAGGTTTACTTCTAATATCTAATGAAATCGATTGAAATGTTGTCGTCATGATTGGGAATGGGATCCATTTCTCGTGAATTATAATTGAAATACGAATTATTTATTCAATAAATAAATCGATATACATGTATCGATATACATATGTTTCTATTAATTTTGGCCACTTTTTTTTCTCTCAACTGAATCATAAAACTCTAAATTTCACGCTTAATCTAATTTCATATCGGGTTAACATCTCTGCTTCTTCTTCTGTTTTTCCTCTTCTTATTTTCCTCGCCATTTTCGCTTCTTCGCTTTTTGTTCTTCTTGTTGCTTTGTTAACCTTTTTATTTCGGGGGCATTTCCTGTTTCGCTTTGCTTCAATTGCAGATTCGAAAGACTTCCGGCTTGTTTTTTTGTTTTTTTGTTGGTCAATTGAGGGGGTGGCGCCATCTGTTGCTCGAGCAGAGAGTTGTTGTATTTAACATGAAATCGTTTTTGTTTTTCTTTTCTTTCGTGCGATTTCTCAATTG